GCCTCCTTTTGGGCAGAAAATGTGGTAGGGGATGTGGCAAGATGTCAGGCTCCTTTTCGGTTCTCCAGCCAGCTGCATCACCAGGGAGTGTCTCTGACCTGGAGCCTCTGTTTGCTGGAGACCGACTCCTTCCTCCCCCTCTGCCTCCCTCCGGGGTGCAGGGCGAGGAGACCCCTCCACCTCCTCTTCATCATCATCGTCAACTCTGCATACAGATGTTACACAGTGTGTTAGATGTGTTCAACATGAGAGTAATACAATAATGGTGCGTATTTAGTGCAAAATGCTTTCAGTTGTGTTATATGTATATTTTCTTTGCTTTACTCTAACTCATAAACAAACAATATTTCATGAATATATACATACATGTCATAGGAAGGATCTCTCCCTTGGATGAGGTCGGCGTCATTTCCACTGTCGGCAGAATCTGGACCAGATGAGTGGACTGAATATTCATCCGACGCTGTAATTAGCTTGAAAGCTTCGTGCCGGGAGAAAAGCCGTTTCGCACGTCCGGGTTGTTGCGGTTTCATAAATATATGTGTGCGAGTGTGTGGTGAGTGTCTGGTGTGTGTGTGTCTAAGTGTTGTTGTGAAAGAGTAAAATACAAAACGAGAGCGAGTGTGTGACTGCAAGCTGAGAGTAATATTTACCGCGGAAGAAAGAGAGGAATTTCCCGGGAAATAACGTCACTCCTTGTTGCCGCGGGTAGTGTCGCGAGAAAGACACGCAAGAAAATAGGCTCGTTCGAGATGAACTGCGCCTCGCCTGGAAAGTAGACGAGAGCAGGCGGCCGCAGCGGGGGGCGGTGACAAAAAGCCGCAGTGAAGTCGGACAGTTTCCAGCAGTCTTCAGTCAGTACAGGAAGTCACAGACACACTAACATCCTGTCTGGAATGATGTCAGTTCATTAAAAAAGTGATCAGACCCATATATCAGTTTGTTTTCACCATCAGTCACACAACATGTTTTCTGTTCACAGAATAAACCTTAAGGTCAGACAAATACAATCTTAATATCTAGAATTCAACAAAAATGAGTAGTTTATCTAAAACGTCATCTTGTTAAGTCGACATCTGAACCAATCAGCTGTTAGATCAGGTGAGAGCCAGGCGGTGCAGTCGGTGGAGAGCAACTGCAGAGCCTGGCTCTAAAAACTGTGGCCGCCTCGCTCTTACGGCTTTATCACCGTCCACTTTTGTAATACGTCAGAGCAAGTCGGGATGAAGTCGGACAAAAAACTAACTGGCATGCATTGTGCGCTGATCGCCGGTGATTGAATCTGCGCAGGACTGGCTCATCTCGAACGAACCTATTAACATGACAGTTCATGCTCACAATGTGATGACGTTTAGTCCAACATAGGAAGTGCTGTGAATACCCGCCATCAGGATTATAATGTTTTTGTTCTTAGCACTTTTTACTGTTTTTCTACAAACCTGTCAGTGCAAGGAAACAGCACTCTGGGACATGATGAATGCATGGTAAGTTAGAGTAACTCCTCCGGTTTTAAATGCAAAAAGAATGATTACTCTATCTTATTTGGTTGCAATTCTACCGGCATTTAAAAATCAATATGCAAATGGGATCACCGGCTCCCGCCGGTTTTAAAGGGTTAAGCTGACCTTTAAAGATACGTGTTAAAGCAATGTACTCTGTGTCCTTACAGTCACACACTGGTTTATTATTTCATGTATTTTCATGACACACACACTCACTGAGCACTTGAGAACTGGAAAGTACCTAGGATTCACTGTGCATCATTTTTTTTTAAAATAGCATGAGGATGAGCTCAGACATATTGGTGGAAAGTTAGGGGAATTCCAGCTTGGCCTGATATGACCCTGGTAATAGGAGGCGTGCCTAGACTGCCCAGGAAAGCATTACACGGTAAAACTGGCTCCAAGGGAAAAAGGGAAAGCTGGGACACCATTATGTACAAGTTCAAGTGGGTAGGCTGGCTTCAAGGGAAGAATGGAGAGCCGTGACACCGTTATGTTCAGCTCAGGTGGGTAGGATTAAAGAAAAAGGTGGAGACTCAACAGAATCTTCAACCAGCTTTAAAAGGGGGATGCACAGAAGGAGAAACTTCAGTCCTGCTCCGGAGCTTGACTCATTGAGTTGTGATGTGTTTGTTGCCTACAAGCACATTAAACTTGCACCTGATTCTACGTGTCTCCAGTGATTTTTTTGACCTCTGAGTATTTGAGTTTTAGACACTTAATAGAAAACAAAGAAAGTTTGTTCGGGAAGTAGGGAACGAGGTCGCGAGCCTTCTGGCCCAGCTCCAGGCCTTGAATTCTGCTTCTTCATTTTTGGCGAGCCAGCGTCGGAGGGCGAGAAGGTCAGATCCTGAGACCGGGGGCACTGGGCTGCTCATCAGACGTACAGGTGGCCACCAGATAAGGTAAGCAGAGCCTTTTTCTGCCGAAACCAGGTGTGTCTGAGGTGCAGTGTTGGGAGCCGCCCACGTCAGAGGTATTTGACAAAATTCCTCTCCTAAAGAACCTAAAATGTGATGTAATAATTACTAACTAATAACACAACATTGGGACATAGCTGATTTATTGCTAGAGACAACTGAATCTAGTGCAACACAGCGTGACCTTGGTGCGGAGTGAGTGTGTGTGTGTGTGTGTGTGTGTGTGTGTGTGTGTGTAAGTCAGAGAGATAAGCATGCAGAGAGAATGAGTGTGTGTGTGTAACCAAGTAGGCAGAGAATGAAAATGTGTGTGTGTTAAAGACATAAAAGAAGTGTCGAGTACAGTACAGCAGAAAATAAATCACGTGAAGAAAAAAGAAAAAACAAATAATAACTAGAACTGCAAGCAGTTATGAACGGGGGCCAAGCCTCCCCACGCAACTCGGCCCCTGTGCCCCTCAGAGCCCACGGAAGTCGGCCCCAAAGTACGATGGGCTCAGGGCGAGTGCAGGGACGCGGGCCAATGTCTGAGCTGCAGTATTTGCTGTAATGGGGAATGTGCCGGAAGTGTGAAAGGCTGAATGTGTGGCAATTTGGATTTATTGTAATAAATCACGCCCACTTTGACCAATCATTACTTAACTTTATGTCCGGCTGCAGGAGTGACCCCACATCACACTCACCAAATTTTGTTCAAATCTTGTACTTGAGACTTGATGTTTGTGGGTTTTTAGCGCCCCCCATTAGCCGATTTGCACCAAATTTGGCACAGAGCCTCTGGATGACCTCCAGAACAAGTGAATTAGGTTTGATGTTAAAAGCATTTACTATGACCAAAATATGAAACAATATGTGTTTTTTAGCTAGCAAAAAAAAAAGATTGTTTGGTTATAACTAGCGCAATTTTTGGAATGCCAAAATTCTTTTGATAACTTTTGATCAGACACATCTGGAGATTCTATGTGCAAAATTTCATGCAGGTGGTGCTTAACCCTCTGTGGTCCAGAACCGCGCCGGCGCGTCAAAATCACGTGACCGATTTAAGACGACATAGCAGCAAGACACTGCCTCACTGAGTCTCCATTTCAATTTGTGTGGAAAGTGCGAACTTCAAACTTTGTACCACTTTTTAAATTGTGTTGATAGGCCATATAAAACCAGACTTATGATAAATCATAAACACCATGATTTTCCTGAATATTTTTGTCACGTTTGGTGCAGGAAGTAATGGTAAAAACAGGCTTTTCGGCTTGACAAAAGTGTTGAAAGCAACAACAGCAGGAAAAAAAAAAAACCCACCACACCCCTTTTCCTATTGGTGGAAAAATGCGCCACATCAACCAATCAAAAAATAGTATGGCAACAGCAGCATTTGTTGCTACGAAAGAGGGGAAGGTTTGTGGGAGTTACGGCGGCAAGAGAGAAACAGCGATAGCGATAGTGAGCGGAGAAATAGTTAGAGATTTGGTGATATTTAGCGTGTTTGGAGTGTATGGTTAGTGTGTAGTGTAGTGTGTTTGGTGTATAGTGCAGTGTGTTTAGTGTGTCGTGCAGTCGTTTTTTTGTTTTGCGTGTCAAAACAATGAGGCGACTCCTGAATGTGGAGCAGGCACTGCATCTCCTCTTTGAGCGGGATGTAGCGGAGGGAAACGCGGATCCGGAGTCGGAGCCAGAGAGTGAGGACTTTGATGATGAAGGGGATGATCCATCGTTTGTGTTGGAAGAGGAGAGAGAGGAAAAGGAGCCTCCGACGAGCGCACCGAGTGGCACCCGGAGGTCCGCACAGAGGAGGGGACAGCGTAGCGCGCCCACATGGTCACGGTCTCCACTGACACAGGCGGCAGAGCCAGAGCCACGCCTCCACAGAGGAGGATGTTGACACTGCCCCAGCAGTAAGCAGGTTCCAGCCACGGAGAACACCAGTAGTCCAGGTAGAGACACTTTCTCCACACAGTCCAAAAGACCTGTTTCTGTTGTTTTTTGCCACTGACACAGTCAAGCACATCTGCAGCAACACAAACAAAAATGCTGCAAAAAACAAGGAGTTAGGGAAAAAGTACAAATGGACTGACATAGAGACAGATGATCTGTACAAGTTTTTTGGTCTTCTTATGTACATGTCTTTGGTGTCGCTGCCAAGTCTCCAAGACTACTGGAGACAAAATCACGTCTGTACACCTTCCAGCCAAAGTGATGACACGAGACAGGTTCAGATCCATATTTTGGAACATCCACCTCAGTGATCCTGAGGAGGATGTTCATAATGACAGACAGAAGGGAACACCAGGCCATGACAAATTGTTTAGAGTCAGACCTCTTTATGATGATATTCTCAGTGCCTGCCAGGCTTATTACCACCCGAGGAGGGAGCTGGCAGTGGATGAAAGGATGGTGGCAACTAAGGCAACTGGCATGACACAATATATGAAGGACAAGCCAACTAAATGGGGGATTAAACTTTTTGTATTGGCCGAGTCAAGCAGTGGCTACACCATCAATTTCAGCATATACACTGGCAAGGCAGTAACTGTGAGTGAACATGGGCTGTCTTATGATGTGGTCATGAAGCTTATTCAGCCATCCTGTCTTGGCACTGGATATCATGTCTACATGGACAATTTTTACACCAGTCCCAAACTATTCATGGACCTGGCCAGCATGAAATTTGGAGCGTGTGGCACCTACAGGGAGAGCAGAAAAGGATGCCCCAGAGGGAGGGAAAATGCTCTCACCAAAAGATGTGAAAGAGGATCAGTGAGATGGATCAGAGAGGGCCCACTTGTGTTTGTGAAGTGGATGGACACACGGGAGGTGTCTGTGTGCTCCACCATCCATCCTGCATTTTCAGGTGACACAGTGTGGAGAAGGGTGAAGGACAGAGATGGACGCTGGGCTGTGCGAGACTTTCCCTGTCCCACACCAATCGTGGCCTACAACCAGAGTATGGGTGGGGTTGATCTGTCAGATCAGCTCATACAGTATTACTCCACCCACAGAAAAACTGGTCACTGGTACAGGACCATGTTGCTGCACTTCTTGGACATTGCAACAACAAATGCCTTCATCTTGCACCGTGAGATGAGCAATGCCAAGCAGGTGCAGCCCATGACACATAAAGATTTCATGGTGGAGCTGGTGAGTCAGCTTTGTGGCATGGACAAGGAAGGTGTTCCTCAGAGCAGGAGAGCTGATCATGTTCCTGTGCCCATTGTCACAGCCACAGATGCAAGCCAAAAAGCCACGAAAGGCAGACAGAGGTGCAAACATTGCCTACAGGTGGACAACAGGAGGAGTAACACACCCTGGAAGTGTCAGGCCTGTGATGTGCCCCTCTGTGTTGTGGTGGACAGGAACTGCTTTTCAGAGTGGCACAAATAAGTTGTGTGGCATCTGATTGTTTTGTAAATAGTTGTAAATAGTTGTTCAAAAAACGCCTGAGGCATTGCCTGCATTTTCATGTAAATAGTTATATATGTTGTTGTTTGCTAAATTTGTTCATATGTTTTTGAGTTCACAATTTATATTTCCATTATAAGTTACAAAAATGGTTCGTTAGACATGTTTGTGGTTTTCACAGTCAAAAATCAAACTTTTTCCTACTCGGATTTTATGTTTTATGTGTGATTTTAGGTCCAGTGTGTTAATACAGTATGCCAAAATGCAAAAACAATTGTAAAGTCATACAGGTGAGGTTGTGCTGAAAAGAATGATACCAAACAAGGCAAGTAAACAGTTTTTTAAGGTGAAATTTAAAGGTAAAATGAAAAGTAGTCAAAAACGGCCAATTATCCCCTAGTCCCCAACTGTGGGAGGGGTTCGAAAAAGTAGGTTTTGGACATGCAGCGAATTAGCAAAGAGAATATGCAGCAAAGTGGGTGGGGCCTGTGTCAGAAAACCCAGCTCTATTCAGGGAACACATGGATATAATGTTTATGAATGTGTCATTTAAAATGTGGAAGTTATCACGCAAAAATGCGTTTGCATCCGTTATAGCACCACCTAGTGGAGCATATGCACAATTTTTGGTATGGAAGATCTGTGTCTTATTCTATATGTACCCTATGAATTTCACAGCCCTCAGCATAATAGTTCAGCTGTAGTAAATGTTTGTTGTTTATCCTATAATAAGCCACGCCCACATTGACCAGTCATGACCACCTTCAATATATGGCCTCAGGAATGGCCCTACATCATACTGACCAAATTTCGTAGAAATGGGTATAGCCGTTTAAGAGATATCAACTTCCCATATTTGTAGCGCCTCCTAGTGGCCAACAAATTCGGCTCATACCTTCACAGTGTCATGCCAGCTAAGGATCTGAGATTTGGTGTTGATAGCATTAAGTTTGACTGAGATATGCAACAGTTTATATTTTTATAGCTAGCTACACAAATTGGTTCATTTATAATATGCGGAATTTTTGACAGAACAAAATTATTTTTGATAACTTTAGATCAGATCCAGGTGAAGAGTGTACGTGCCAAGTTTCACGCAGATCAGACAAAATCCCAAGAGGGAGTTCAAAAAAGTAGGTTTTCCAGTTTTTGTGATCTTGCGAAAAAAATAAAAAATTATAGGTGGAAGTGGGCGTGGCCAATTGCAACGTGATTCAGCTGTATTCAGGGAATCTGGGGATATAACGTTTTTGAATGTATGACATACGGTGTGGGAGTTATAGGCCAAAACGCGTTGGCCTTGGTCATAGCGCCCCTGCAGGCAGACATATGTGTTTTTTTGCGTCTGAGGTACGTGCTGGTGTCTGGACCAACCCTCCGAATTGCACCACCCTCCCTTGCACAGTTCAGCCTGCAGCACCACTTTTATCAACAGAAGAATAAAAATAGAGAAAAACTATAAAAATCTTTACAACAACAATAGGGTTCCTAGCACCGCTGGTCCTAGGAAACGCATCTGCTTGCATACGCGTTCCCCGAGGCCCCTCGGGCTTGGCCCCCTAATAATACATAAAAGCATTCTGTGGATACCGCTGTTAATCTCGCAGCACCTCAAGCTTGAAAGCAGGGGAGCTGTGTTAGAAAACAGGTCTGCACGGGCAGAATGCTAAAGAGATAAATATCACTAGGAGCCCTGAGGGGACTGCGAGATAAGAGATAAAACAGATAAAAATTGCTAGGAGCCCTGAGGGGACTGTGATTAGATAAAAGAGATAAATATCGCTAGGAGCCCTGAGGGGACTGCTGTAAGAGATAAAAGAGATAAATATCGCTAAGAGCCCTGAGGGGACTGCGGTAAAGAGATAAATAATAAAAAAAGTAAATAATATTATAGGAGAAGACAGGAGTTGTTGTGAATACAGTAAAGATAAATAGACGTGTAGATAAAAAAGACTGATGACATAATAGACTAACGACTAGACTAAGATGAGGAGCGTAGGAGGTAGATAAAAAAAAGTGCACACAGCCAACAGAAGTGGGCTTATACAAAAAAAACAAAGCTTTGTTAAACTTTAATACTTCGGCTCTGATCTCTATTGGTTTAAAGGTCATTACAAAGAAAATTCTTTTGACATTTTTGTGCCTGAATGTTTTCATCATAATCTGGTATCTGTGTGTTTGTTTTATGTGATTTGCTTTAAAGGTTTGTTAAATGTGGTAGTTATTAACAGTGTCTTAGTGAAATAAAACCAGACAAGGGTAACCTAACGGTGTCAACAAATTGTCTGGGGACTGGAAATGGTGTCAACGAAAGTCCATATGTTTCACTGATCGAACCAGTTGCTCGGGTGAACTCCATACAAACTGGTTGGCTGTTAAGGGGAGAATAAAAAAGAAATTTTTGTTATCTTAATTTAGCTTTATGTATAAATAACAAAATAAGTAATAAATTTAGCTTTATAAATAAATAAAATAAGTAATAAATTTAGCTTTATAAATAAATAAGTAAGTAATAAATTTAGCTTTATAAATAAATAAATAAAATAAGTAATAAATTCAGCTTCATAAATAAATAAAATAAGTTATACATTTAGCTTTATAAATAAATAAAATAAGTAATTAAAAAAAAGAGAGAAGTTAAAAACAGGCTGCTAAGAGTTGGATGGAAGAGGGTGACAGCAGTAGTGACGAAATTTGGGCTGAAGAACATTGCATGACTGATGGTTCAGTAGAAACTAGAGGCATAAGAACACATTTCTGGTTAGAAAGAAACTACATAGACAACAAGGGTGAGGAGCAGTGGCAAGACGAGCAAGAGATTCAACTAAAACTTTGGATAATTACTAAATTTACCAATTTGAAACAAGTGAAGGAAGAATTTCCAGGTGTACAGTGGGAGACAATTTTGAATGATTTGTGGACTCCCCGCTCATTAGATCCATTGCTGCAATATTTGTGTGACAATTATAAAAGCAGATCCGTAGTTTCACTTCCTCTGAACCAGGTAGTATTTCAAGATTTAGAGAACGGAGTGGAATTTAATCCAAGATTGCAGATTGTTGTCGTGCCTAGAAAAGTTGATTGGGAGACAGGAAAATCTGGCTGTTTAACCAAAGTCCCCCTAGGAAATAGGTCACATAAATTAGAATATAACCCCTGGAGAGAAAAAAATACAAAACTGCCATCACAGTAGGGAAAATACTAGTACTGATACGCACAAAAGAAACAGACGAGCAACCACAAATTCCAAGGGCAAGTGAACTTAAACAAGGCTTCATGGGAGCCAACCAAGGAAAAATGGAAAAAGGGGTTCTGACACCCATAGAGATAGTGATGACACAACACCCAGGTCGGAGAAACCGAATCCAATGCTGTGTGACCAAATGGCACAAAAGAACATCAGGAAAAAAATCATTGGCCTAAAGATGGAACCTTCAACCTGGCATGTTGTGACGAGGTGGAGTCAGAACTAAGGCGAGTTATAAGAAAAAGAAAAAAAGGGCTAAAGAAAGGAAGGTATTAGGGTGGTTTAGACAAGTAGGGGGTAGGAAGCAAATGGTGCAAGTAGAGCGCAGCAAGCATCCACAGGACCCACAGCACCCACAGGCACCGAAGCAAATGGTGCAAGTAGAGCACTGCAAGCATCCACAGGACCCACAGGCACAAGCGGATGTGATACCCACAGCCCCACCCCTACCAGCACCACCACCACCATACCCACAAGACACATCACCATCAGAGACGGGACAATACCCCCTGCGCTCGGTAGGGGAGGCAAGAGCAGCAACAACAACGGAGGGCCAAGTGGAGGGAAGGTTCACAGTGACCTTGACCAGGGACACGAAGGCGAAGAGCAGACGAAAAAAGACGCTCCCCACACGCAGAACACTGACAATGCAAATGCTACCTTGTGCCGGTGCAGAGACGGAGGTGGACCTAGGGGAGGACCAACAGGCCAAGGAGGATGGAGAGGGGGACCGAACTTTGCTCCAGGACCACAGCCACTGCAACAGCAAACCTATCAGCAATCCGCACCCTATCAGCAATCAGGCCCCCAGGAAATGAACACAGGATATCCAGGAGTGAATCCTGCTGCACCTGACTACCTATGTTGGGGTTGTAACCAGCCCAGCCACCGACGTAGGCAGTGTCCGGTCAATCCATGGGAAGGTCCAGCAGAAAATTGGCCGAACATGGAGACAGGGTGCCCGTGGTAGTGCTGCCCAGAGAAGCCTGAGGGGGAAGTAATGTCACCAGTCATTTCATTACAGCCACACGACGAACCAACTATACCTGTTGACATCCACGAACAAGCATATCCTTTTATGGTTATCCTTTTAAGTCATCCATCAAGACCATAGGCTTCTCTGGGAAATCACAAGTCATACCATTGACAGAGCCCGTTCCAATGCTCATCGCAGGAAAAGTCATATTTGCACCCCTACTCTATTCAGCTCATACGCCAGTGAACCTTCTAGGCAGAGACATATTGTGCCCTCTCAAAGCTAAGATCATGTGTACTCAAGATGGATTATATCTAGATTTCCCAGAGGAACCTCCACAAAGCATGATGCCACAGCTGCCCGTGAACGCCACAGAGACACCACAGGCGTTGGTCTACTGGCTCCAACTGACACCAGAAGAGTCTCACCTCAAACAGACATGGACTGAGTGGGAACCATGGGTTAGGTTACATTTTGACACAGCACACACTCCTACTCTGCCACTGCACTTGCACGCTCATGTACAGTATGACGCAGACCAGACTCATGTAGATTATCAAGAATGCTGGGACGCAGTGCTCAATAAAAAACCATGCCTGATCACTAGTGAAGACATTTAAGACCTCAAGGTGTGGCGGCCGCCGTCCGCCTCCCAGAAGAATTAGCTGGGTGGTTTCAAATGCCAAATTCTACACCACGTTACACTGTTGATAGCAGAAGGTTATGAGTCTCGTCATCTGGGTCCTATCTGGGTCAGGT